TCTGCTTTCCACACACATCCCTAGTCTGTTAACTGAATACTTTTCATGTTTTTTAAAGACCTCCAGAGAAAAAATATTCTATTCCTAAATCAAAAGCCCATTCTAATGTTAGATGTAGGCTTTGAAAAAAAGTGAAGATAACTGTAATAATTCTGCACTTAACCACATGATGGCTTTTGGAAGTGCTGTCCATCCAGAACATCAACCGAATGGAAAAGTGGTCAAAATGGTCTATGGAGGAAGGAAATGGAACAGCGCCTCCCTTGGGCTCTCATCCAGAACTCATAAACCCAAAACATATTGAAAATAAGGTTATTAATTTAACAGGATTGACCATGGAATTTTTAGAGGATAGAAGAGACATGGATAGTATCAGCTACAAGGAAGTGATCAGAAACACACAGGAATCACGGGTGATCTCCTGGTAGTTGACGCCCACCCCCACTGATCCCACCAGCCATGTGATCACAGTCCCTTGCAATAACTGTTTAGAAATCAGCATGTAGCCTAATCCCAGCCAATTAGAGGCAGGAAGAATTCTACTGGGGGATTCTAGGAAAGGCTCTCTCTTAAAAAAGAAACACAGTGAAAAGACAGCCTCCTTTCTCTGGACAATGTCTTCCCCGGGTGTGACACCTGAAGCAGCTGCCGCCATGGCAACCATAAGGAGGCCAGTCCTGGGGCAAAATCACACACCAAGGGAGACAGTGTAGCAAGATGGGAAAGCTTGGGTCACTGATGACTGCATAGCTACTGAGTTAACTGACCCAAGAGCTCTGTCTCTGGAATTCTTGTTTTCAAAGAAAATAGATTCTTTTATTCTTTAAACCAATTTAAGTTAAGGTTCCTGCTACCTACAGCTAGAGGCATCCTGACAGAGATAGAATACAAAAAGGGAAAGAATCCCCAGGTATTAATTACATTGGAAATGCTTCGGCATTAAAATGGATAGGTTGACTCAACTTTGATCATATTGATTTTGTACATTAAAAAGCATAGTTGTGTGATTTATTGTAGTACATAACAGGATTAAAAGCGGAGTGAGTCATCACGTCTGCTCTCTAGATGGGTCCTTGCCAATAAACTTGAAAATGAACTTGTTAGATAAGAAATTGACTTTGCTTATTGGAATAAACAACTTCCTGTATGCTCCTAGATTTACCAATCAGTCAATCCACCTCAGCCATACAGGGGACTTTTGCTGCTAATTCTCTCTATCCCGATGACAGACAGTTCATTCCATTCACACCTCTCAACAGCAAGATCAAGAAGCTGAGCTCTCTCCCTCCAAAGTTTTAGAGGCAATGTGTATGTGATGAGCAGAAAACAGGTTCAGAGAATCTGGGGCCATGAATCTACTGCTTTGCTTGGAAAGTCATCTAAGTTGTCTGTTCATGTTACTTCACAGGAAATGAAACCTATAATCTATTCAAAGAGTTTGTGTAATTTAGCCAATCCCAGCTACCCACTTCAATCTGTTCATTTTTAAAGGTTTACATGGGTTTTAGCATTTGCTTTGGAATGTCATTCATATTATAAAATAGGATGTGATAATCTATAAATAAACCAACTGAAAACAAGCATGAAGAAGGTCAATTAGAGTGGTATTATATTAAATGGAATTACTTTTTAAAAGGTCTCAATTTTTGCACTTTTAATAATTCATGAAGAACTACACTTAGGGCGCCTGGGTGGCTCAGTGGGTTGAGCATCTGACTCTTGATTTCGGCTCAGGTCATGATCTCGGGGTCCTGGGATTGTGCCCTACTTTGGGCTCTGCGCTCTGCAGGGAGTCTACTTGAGGATCCTCTCTCTCTCTCCCTCTTCCCCTCCACCCCCCACTCCCACACTCATTCTCTCTCTCACTCTCTCTCTCTAAAATAAATACCTAAATCTTTGGAAAAGGAAAATTACCCTTAAGTTTACACTGGTTACACTCTGACTATAGCTGTCATGCAGCTCTGCTTCCTTCAATGATGCTTCCCATGAAATACTTAATGAAATCTATATTAGTTTTCTATTTCTGCTGTAACAATTTACCACAAACTCAGTGGCTCAAAACAACACAAATTTATCACCTTACAGTTTTGCATGTGGAAAGTCTGAAATGGGTCTTGAGGGGCTAAAATCAAGGTGTCAGCAGGGTTGCATTCTAGAGGTTCAAGGTTCAAGGGGAAAAATCCATTTCCTTGCCCTTTTTAAGCTTTTGGAGGCTACTGGCATTCCGTGGCTCATGGCCACATCACTCTGACCTTTGCCTCTCTCATCGCATCTCTTTCTCTGACTCTGACTCTCCTACTTCCCTCTTATAAGGACACTTGTGATTATATTGGGCCCACCCAGACGATCCAGAATAACCGTCTCAAGATCCTTAACTTAATCACCTCGCTAAAGTCCTTTTTGCCAGGCAAGGTAACACATTCACAAGTTTCAGAGATTAGGACACAGACATCTTTGGGGAGCCACTATTCTACCTACCACAAAATCCATCACAAATAGGAGAGGTTTTCCCTGTTTCAACTGACCTGAGAGTATTAAGAAAACTGTATCAATTAATGTTGATTCATTATTAATGTTGCATGTAATAACTTTATGAGTGACTAGGATATACTTCTATCACTCCAAGAAAATGGTGAAGAGCAAATAAAATTCTAGTCCCAGATACTACTCAAACACAGTCTTCCCACAGTGGGAAGGAGAAAAAAAAAAAAAATCCCAGCTTGCAAGATTTATTCCTTGTTTTGGTTCCCAGGAAACTCAGTGCTAAAACATGTTGATAAGAAGAATTTATCAAGAAAGGAAGTGACAGTAAAAAGTAAAGGACAGGGGCGCCTGGGTGGTTCAGTGGGTTAAGCCTCTGCCTTCAGCTCAGGTCATGATCCCAGGGTCCTGGGATCGAGCCCCGCGTCAGGCTTTCTGCTCAGCAGGGAGCCTGCCTCCATGTCTCTCTCTGCCTGCCTCTCTGCCTACTTGTGATCTCTGTCTGTCAAATAAATAAATAAAATCTTTAAAAAAAAAAAAAAGTAAGGGACATCTGGGGAAATAGTAAATTATTATATTAAGAGAAACTCTAGGGGCACCTGGGTGGCTCAGTGGGTTGAGCCTCTGCCTTGGGCTCAGGTCATGGTCCCAGGGTCCTGGGATCAAGCCCTGCATCGGGCTCTCTGCTCAGCAGGGAGCGTGCTTCCCCCCACTCTCTGCCTGCCTCTCTGCCTGCTTGTGATCTCTCTCTCGGTGTCAAATAAATAAGAGAAACTCTGATGTATTAAAAAACCTCAGGACTTATGGGAATCACTTTTAAAAGCCTAACAAATCACTAAATGAGTAGCTCTAACTTAAGAATATTTAGCTGTGCATGGGGGCTAGAATCGGGAGGCAGGACAGTAGGACAATAGGGCCCCTTCCACATCTCTGCTTCACACTCTTATAAGCTACCTTTATTAGAAAACTCAACCTCCCTGCTTGGAAACCTTTGAAGTGGGTTCTGCTCCAATCAAAGAAAGGCACCACTCTTGCTTTTCTCTCTGTCCCCGGAGCCACACAAAGTGCCAAGAACAGAGTAGGAGCTCAGTTAGGTTTGTTGGATGAATTAATTAACCAAAGCGAAAGGACAGTTCTTCAAAGAAAAGCATTCCTCCTTAGACCGTAAACCTTTAAAAGTTTTACCAAGTCCAGTTTCAGCTGAGGTGCAGGGATGGCTCAATTGGTGAAGTGTCTACCTTCAGCTCAGGTCATGATCTTGAGGTCCTGGGATCAAGCCCTGCACGGGGCTCCCTCCTCAACGGGGAACCTGTTTCTCCCTCTCTCTCTGCCCCTTTCCACCCCCATCCTCATATGCACGCACTTGTGCTCTCCTCTCTCTGAGATAGGTAGATACGTAGATAGATAGACAGATAGACAGAGTCTTTAAAAAAGGGGAGCGAGCTTATTTTAAACTACACAATCATGCAATAAACTGACACAGCGATTTTCCAGCTCTGCCCTCATATTAATGCTCTCACCCCTTCTCACCATAGATCTAAAAGAGAGTTTTCATGAGAGGGAAGAATGATCTTAAAGAAATCATAGGCACTAGGATTCAAAATTGGACATTTCAACCAAAGAACCACAATACACAAGTATGATATTCCAGAGCAAAATTCCAAACATACATACAAATTTTCCAAGAAATCACCAAACACTGGTTATATGACTTTTAAAGCTAACCTCTGCTGCACTGAAGGTTATAAATAGGGCTAGTTATTAAAGACCAAGAGAATTTCGGAGAGGGCGTTTCTAGGGAGAAGAGTCAGGCCTCAAGGACTCAACCAGGGCTTTACAGCATTTCTCCAGAAAAAAGCCAAGAGGAGACAGACAGGGAGCCTCCCTGCCAACTGGGGAGAGAAGGTCCAAGGTGAAGTCTGCCTACATCCACGGAGCCTCTCCAGGATAATTCAAGCCATGCCCGAGACAGAGCAAGCACGTGGGTGTCTGGACACAGACTGCCAAACTGAGCCTGTCCCTGACAGGCAAATGCAGCCTTAAGAGGAAACAGAAAAGTGACAAGACTGCCGAGCACTCGCTCAGAAGTGGGGGAAGAATTTCTCCTGGGGAGCAAATTGCACAGTGACAGAAGGTAACACCATATATTTGTTTTCTGACTTAAGACCATTCACGCTGCTTGTTCAGCACACTGGTTACTCATGTCTGCTCCCCATTTGGAATTCCTCCCAAAACCTATAGTTGTCTTCCAGCTGGGAAGGAAAGATGGAATTCCTTCCAAAAACGAGGTAACTGTGCTCTCAGTGGGCAGCTGGAGACTGTTTGGAGCCTGGCTATTTAAGAGCACTGACTATAAACATATAAGAAAAAACTGGTAACTTTTTCTGAAATGAACCATCCATAAACATCACCAGAAAATCCACTTTGCTCCATAATCGAGGCCAAGAAAGAAAGCTGCCACCTTAGAAAAATAAGAGGAGGTGAGGGAGGAGGAAGAAAGAAACACGCATGACTCTTACCCAGGCCCTGATTCTGCTGTTCCCACTCGATGGCATCTGGCACCTGGTCAGTGGCTCCATCCAAAGGGCCCAGGTTTCCCTGCTCGAAGCCAGGTTCTTGAGACGTGATGCCAGGGAGAGTGAACCCAGGCAGCTCAGCGTCACCATCCAAGCTATCATCCAGGGACTCTGTGTCTTTATCATCTTCATCTTCCTCCTCATCTTCCTCTTCTTCATCTTCCTCCTCTTCCTCCTCTTCATCCTCATCTTCTTCTCCCTCTAGGAAAAAAGAAATCAACAAGAAACATGAAGGAATACAGTAAGTACCTACATATGAGTCTTTTGAAATGACCCAAACACTACAAAATAATTCTGCTTGACCTTTTAAAACAAATTTTATAGCCAAAGTTGGGCGACACGGGCCTTGCAAGACTAGGTGCTCACCATACACCTGTATTTCAAATTTTCAAAATCACAGTTATGTCAGATCATTAGTACACGGCATGTTTATTTGGAGTCAAAGTTCAGGTAATATAAATTTTTATTAGTCAAATTTATATTTACAAAGGTGGAAATCATCCCTTCCCTGTTTTCTGAAGGTCATTAAAGATGGATCCACTAGGGGCACCTGGGTGGCTCAGTGGGTTAAGCCGCTGCCTTCAGCTCAGGTCATGATCTCAGGGTCCTGGGATCTAGTCCCGCATCGGGCTCTCTGCTCAGCAGGGAGACTGCTTCCCTCTCTCTCTCTCTCTCTGTCTCTCTGCCTGCCTCTCTGTCTACTCGTGATCGCTCTCTGTCAAATAAATAAATAAAATCTTTAAAAAAAAAAAAAAAGATGGATCCACTAGGTTAATATCCAAAATATATACAACTCAACACCAGAAGAACAAATAATCCACTTAAAAAATGGGCAGAAGACCTGAATAGACAGTTCTCCAAAGAAAATTCACAGATGGCCAACAAACACATAAAAAGATGCTCAACATCACTAATCATCAAAGAAATACAAATCAAAACCACAATGAGATATCCCCTTGCCCCTGTCAGAATGGCTAGAAACAAAAAGACAAGAAAAACAATTGTTGGGGAAGATGTAGAGAAAAAGGAACTCTCGTGCACTGTTGGTGGGAACGCAAAATGGTACAGCCACTGTGGAAGACGTTATGGGGATTCCTCAAAATATTAAATCCCGGGACGCCTGGGTGGCTCAGTTGGTTGGATGACCGCATCGAGCTCCCAGCTCCACGGGGAGTCTGCTTCTCTCTCTGACCTTCTCCTCGCTCATGCTCTCTCTCACTGTCTCTCTCTCAAATAAATAAATAAAATCTAAAAAAAAAAAAATAGAAATCCCATATGATCTGGTAATTCCACCCAAAGAAAATGAAAATATTAATTCAAAAAGATATGTGCACCCCTATGTTTATTGTGGCATTATTTACAATAGCTAAAATATGGAAGCAATCAAAGTAACCATGGACAGATGAATGGATTAAAAAAAAGTGGTGTATACAAATAGCAAGGAATGTTACTCAACCATAAAAGGAGCGAGATCTTGCCATTGACAGCAACATGAATGATCTTGAGGGTATTATGTTAAACGAAATAAGTCAGAGAAAAACGGGCATCATATGATTTCACTTATACGTGGGATCTAAAAACCAAAACAAATGAATAAACAAACAAAAAGCAGAAACAGACCCATAGATACAGACAACAAACTGATGGTTGCCAGAGGGAAGAACAGATGGGAGATGGGCAAAATGGGTGAAAGGGAATGGGAGATACAGGCTTCCAGTTACGGAAATAAGTCACAGAGATAAAAGGTACAGCAGAGGGAAGAGAGTCAATGGTATTAGAACAGCATTGTATGGTGACAGATGGTAGCTACACTTGTGATGAACATAGCCTAACATATAGACTTGTCATATCACTATATTGTACAGCTGAAACCAATGTAACAGTGTCTGTCAACTATACTGCAATTAAAAAAAAATTTTTTTTTCCATTAGAATGCACACTAAAATACTAACAGAACTTAGAGTGTCCCAATCCTTTTGTATCTTATCATACTAAACAAAAAAATTCATGATTTGGGCACAATTTTCCTTCTATTCTTCTTCCATATCAATGAGTAGAAGTCACAACAAGTGAGAGGTACATAAATACACTCCCGGCTCCTGTTGGAAGATCGACCCAAGAAAGTGGAAACAATTACATCAACATTCTCAATTCCACTCTAAAAGAGGTTAGAAAATAGGATATTGATCAAAGACAGTCAGGAAAGCACACTTGAAAAAAAAATCATTACCACTGCCACCATCTTAAGAGTTAAATTCACAATTTGTCACATTCAATGCTTCAAGCAGAGGGGGTGTAGGAAACCTAAGATCCCCAATTTTACTTGGTTTCACCAACTTTAATTTTCTAGGAATACTTCAAGCCTCCACCCTCACCACTGATGCACCCTAAGCCCCTGATGAGAGCTCACCAAGCTCACTGAAGCCTTCCCCTTGCTCTCTTCCCTTGGCTCACCACATGGCAGTTTGCAAAAAGGAACTCTCCTAGGATGGCAGAGAAGGGAAGAGGGAGGATTAGAGCCACCCAGGAATTCTGAGGCTCTCTTTTTCTGCTTGTAGACAATGTTCTCCACATACATTCCTTTACACCTATTGTTTATAGGGGTTTTTTTTTAACTTTTAAAAAAATATTACATCTGATCTTTTTCATTCTTATATATCCTCTAACTTTGTACAACTTAATACCTCTTAATACCTCTCATTCCAAATATTTGGAATATTTGGAAAATATTCCAAAAATGCAATAACTACTTATCAAGCACCTAGTTCCAGGCACTAGGAATAAAGCAGCACTATCTCTGCCTTCATGGAGTTAATAGGCCACTCGAGGAGACATGTACACACACAGCTCTAGGATACAATATGACACTCTGACTAAAACTGGAAGAAAGATGGAGAATGGCAGACTCTGCTTTTCTGGATGCGGAGATCCAGACAAAGGGCAGCTTTTCTGGTAAAGTTTGAACAGAGATTATACTAAAATAATGAATTCTCTTGTTCAAGTTAGGTCAGTATCTACAGGAGGAACATTCTCAGCAGCAGGGAACAGAAGAACAGCAAAAACAAAAACCTTGAGGCAGTTGTGTGCTGTGTTCAAAGAATGGCAAAGACTGACCTGGGAGCAAGAAGGGACAGGAAATGAGGTGGGAGGGGTAGGCAGGGGTCAGATTTAACATATATTTATTTATAAGGAATTACAGGCTGCAGCGTGAAAAAAATGGGCTAAATCGGAGCAAGACACAAAGCAAAGAGACCCACTGGGAGGCTATTTTACAAGCCAGGGAATAAGATGACGGTGTTTTGGACACGGATATAGTTCTGGAAGCAGGAAGAGATGGTCAGATCTGGGATGTAATATGAAGGTAATTTGCAGGCAGAGCCCTACTGATAAGTATGATGTGGGATGTGGAAGGAATACGGCACTTTATTAAAGACGGAAACTAAAGGGCAAAGAGCAAAATCAAGAATTTTATTTGAGACACATTAATCATGTGATTGCTATGCCTATGATTTCAAAGTGGAAATGTTGGAAGCCCAGGGAAGATCAAAGCTAGACATAAAAATCTAAGACTCACCAATTTAGAAATAATATTTACAGTCTTGGGGCACCTAGGTGGCTCAGTGGGTTAAAACCTCTGCCTTCGGCTCAGGTCATGATCCCAGGGTCCTGGGATCAAGCCCTGCATCGGGCTCGCTGCTCCGCAGGGAGCCTGTTTCCCCCTCTCTCTCTCTCTGCCTGCCTCTCTGCCTACTTGTGTTCTCTGTCTGTCAAACAAATAAATAAAATCTTTAAAAAATAATAATAATAATAATAATAATAATATTTACAGCCTTGAGACTGGCTGAGATCACCAAAAGAATGAGTGTGGGTAGAAGGAAAAGTTGTCCAGTCTAAGCCCCAGACAATCGAACATTTAGAAGTTGGCCAGCAGAGGGAGATCCAACAAAGGAGACCGAAAAGTGACCACTGAGGTAGGTGAAAAACCAAGCCGAGTATGGTGTGGACAAAGTCAAAGGAATAAAATACTTCTGGGGGCCTGAGTAAGAAAACTGAGACTGTCCCTCCAGTGTTGACATTACCTCTAGCTTTGGCACTCTGGAAATGATTAGTGACTTCACCCAAGTTGTTCATGGAAAGGTAGGGGTAAGAGTCAAAATGGAGTAGTTGAAAAGAATATTAGAAAAAAGGAAGTAGATACAGCAAATATTTAAAAAAAAAAAAAAAAAAAACTTACAAAACTTTTTGAAAAAAAGAACAGGGACAACAAGAGCCAAACCATGAAAAAAAGCCCAGCTGCCCATCAGCAGATGAATGGATAAAAAAGATGTGGTATGTATATATATATATGTATATGTATATACATATATATACATATACATATATATATATATATATATATATATATAGAAATATTACACAGCCATCAAAAGTGAAATGTTGCTATTTGCAACAACGTGAAATGGAACTAGAGGGTATTAAGCTAAGCAAAATAAGTCAATCAGAGAAAGATAATTATCATATGATTTCACTCATATGTGAAATTTAAGAAATAAAACAGAGGATCATAGGAGAAGAGAGGGAAAAAATGAAACAAGAAGAAAGCAGAGAGGAAGACAAACCATAAGAGACTCCTAATCACAGGAAATAAACTTGAGAGTTGTTGGAGGGGAGGTGGGTGGGGGGATGGTGTAACTGGGTGGTGGACATTAAGGAGGGCATGTGATGTAATGAGCACTGGGTATTATATAAGACTGACGAATGACAGACCTGTACCTGTGAAATCCATAATACATTAAATGTTAACTAACAGGATTAAAATTTTTAAAAATGTTTAAAGGGGGGGGCAGGGACAGACGAGGGTAGCTGGAAGGAGTTGTAGGATCCAGGGTACCTTCTCAAAATAGGAGATACTAGAATTTGCTTGGAATTTGATGGGTAAGACCTAGTAGAGAAAGGGAAATTGATGACTCAGGAGAGAGGGGAGAGGGCTGCTGGAGGAATGTCTGGAGATGGGGTTTGGCAGAGCACTTGCACATGTGGACTCAAGCCATGCAAATGTACTGTGGCTATGTGATTTTGGACAAGTTATGGTGCCATAGCTTCCTCCTCAGTAAAACCAGGGTGATTCATACCTCACAGAGCTGCTATAGGATTACATCAGTTAGTATATAAGGTACTTAGGACTAAGCCTGGGTCATCAT